ATATAATTATTCTTTGAAAATCTTTATCGTTAGACCACTTGGCTTTTTTTTGCACTGAGAATGATCCACGATCGAGAATGCACGTGGCGAAGAAAGATAGCATAATTGTAATAATTTGCCGTGATGCATCGAGTGATGCATCACGCTTTTCGCTTATTAACAGTATTCCTTTCTTGCGAGAATTTATCACATGCGTTAAGTGTTACCTTGGATCGTCCAAGGAACTCCTTTTCTTTCTCCTTTTGTCTGTAATATCTCTTTGTCTGTTAATATATAATTGTAAATTAATAATTAATTCGGAGCTCATCAAGAGATGAGCTTTTCATGCATTGGAAGAGCGAGAAGATTGTATTGTAAAATGAAATTGAAGAAGTTTATTTTTATTGAATAAAAGTTTTATCCCTTTTATACGATCCTCTGCAAGTTCCTGGACTCCTCGATCAGATAATTGCACATTTCGTTTAACTCGCCTAATTAACTGCGCTTTTTACTCTTGTTTTGCGTCTAGAATCGTTCGGTAGTATGTAATTGTTTGTAAATTACAAATATTACGTAGTTAAATTATGGCTAGACTAAGATTACGAAAAAAATTGTACATCACGCTATTTTATATTTATATATATATATATATATAAAATATATATATAATTATAAATATTATATATATATATATATATATGTTTCGTTAGTATACACTTCAAGGTAGAGTTACGCTTAGAATATTTATGCTTAGAATCTTTAGACAGAACTTGCTAGTAATATAATATCGTAGTAATGTAATCATTGTCATCTCGCACTTAATCATCCGCTTCTCATTTTTGTACTTTCTTTAAATTTTCAAATTGATCATTCTTTGTCCTATGTAATTCAATACAAGTATTTTCTTTCTACTTTCGTTAGTTTTGTTTTTTAATACCTCCCACGACTAATGATTGGTCTACTTTAGTTGTGGTGCTACTTTAACCGTGGTATTTTTTAGGCCAGACATTTGGAAATGTTTTTAAGCATATATTCACGTTGTCTTTTCTTACCTGTTGTAATTGTCATTGTAAAAAAAAAAGGAATGCAAAAAAAAAAA